ATTAGATTTGAATAAAAATTATGTTTTTTATATTTAAAAATTAATAAAGATACTCTTTATTTATATGAAAGATGCTCTTCAAAATAAAGAGGTGCTCTTATATCCTTTTCCATTATTTAATGAGGAAGAAATCCAACAAATACCACCTGAAAACCCGCTTGTACGATTAAAACCTATCTTGTTGATGACATTGACTAAGCCATTGGGCATTGGGATATTGAATTGCGAAAGCCAGTATTGATTAATGTTTATTAAAATTAAGATATCTTTAATTTTGGTAGTTGTAATCTCTTCAATTTAATGCTAGATCTATAAAGATATTGTTTATATATAACCTAGATAATAAATTATGAAAATTAATATTAATATTCACTTATGTTTTGCCGAAAATCAAATTCACTGCTTACAGTTTAAAACCCATAGTGTACTAAATATACAAACTCTTGTATGCAAAATGATGTAACACAATTCTTTATAGTCACATGAATCATCTATATTAATTAGCGTTTATTAAGTTGACATTTTGTAAAAATGTATCTACTCTTTTTATGACACATCAGTTTCTATGGATAACTTTGTAGAAAAAGTTTGTATATCAAATATTACTCTTATTAAATTAACTTAAGATGTGATTTTCAACTCTATAACGTGATTTTCAACACACTTACCATAAGTGAAATTAATTTCCAATTTCTATACGCTGAAGTGGAATGTTTAGTAAATTATAAAACCGAGTGTTCTTGGCAGGTTGTAGTTAATTTTTGATCCACCAAGTCAGTCAATTTTATGTTTTATTAATTAGGATGGCTTACAGTATATTGTATTAAACTCCAAAAATTTTGTTTTAACTCCAAATTTGGTTTTTTTTTATATTATTATTATTATTTTTATCATTGGAGTGTTTGAGTCAACTTGCGCTCACTTCAACTAATCCTCCAGAGCCTAGGAATTGTCAGCCAACTAAGAGCCCCAACGGTTATTCCTATTAGTGTCTGGAAAGACTTGAATTCAAGAGCTCACGAAACCTCTTTTTGCTCTTTTACCATCAAACCACCCAATAGTGGTTAAGTGTAAATAAGAGTTACAGTGCTCACCCCTGTTAAACTTCATATTTGATACTCTCAAGTAAGTGTAGGTTTGAAGTTCCAACTATCAATAGTAAATGTCATAGCTTGATTGTTTTATGATACTGACCCTTTAATCTTTGAAGGGGTAGTGAGGAATCAAAAGAAAATTAATGATAAGATTCCTTAATCCTTACAATAGACCAAGCCCATGAATAAAAAATATAAAGTTGAAATGTCTTAATGTAAAGTGAAGGATCAAATTAATAGTGAGAATTAAAGAAAAAGCTTAGGCACCTTCCTTTGGAGAAAAGAATATAAGAATGCTCGCTTTACCTTTTCTTTGTCCCAAAGCAAACCAAATTCCCACACTTCACCGATGATATGGAATAAAATTTGTCTTTCTTCATACTTTTCTTGTTAATTAACACACACACAGACATATATAATGGCTCTTCAATTAGGGTAATAGGTATATTTGAAAAATCTACTCAAAAGTAAAACTAAAATTAAACAATTACAAACAGTGGCTATATATGCCCCCTCTGACCCGTCAATTATTTTTTAGGAAAATTATTTTATTATGTAATAATATTTAATTAAAAATTTTGTCTAACTATTTCATTGCATTCCCATATTTTCAGACTTCTATGGTATATCACTTTATTGTATGGAATTTTGTGATATTATGGTTTAACTGATCAAAGAACATTAGGTTTGTGATACTCCCCAGAACATGACTTTATAAAAGGAAATCACTTTCCTTAATGCATCCATATAAAATATGAGTTTAAAAGGGCACCACTCCTTTGTTTCTTTTCAATTGGAACCTTACATCTAATTTTTTTTTTTTTTTTTTTTTTAATTTTAAAAAAGGATGTTGGAGAACAAAGAGAAATATTTAATATCAAAACATATATATATTTGGTGGAGTTTTGATGTAACCTTATTAAACAAAGCCAATTCTTTTAAAGATCTAGTTCAAACCAACTCCTAATATTCTAAGATAAATTAAAATATATAAATATTATAAAATGAAATATTAGGATTGGTCTCTCTTTCTTTACTACAATTTTGCAATAAATCTCTCCACAATAACTGGACATAACTTTGCGCCATGTGCCCAGCTTGACTAATTAAGCTAAAAACCAAGCATCACTTTGAGGATATCAATTTGGCCGAACGACTTTTGCATACCCAAAGTTTGTTGAAACGACAAGTTGATACCCAAAAGGTTTTGAAACGATAAATGATACCTTCCGTCATGTTCTGTTAGTGATTTTGGTTAGATAATAGTGAAGACTAAAATACCCTTGAAAGTTCAATTTTTAGTTTTTATAAATTTAAAAACTTCTAAAAAACCCCTTAGGTTTGCTAATTTGACTAAACAGCCCAATATATAAAATTTTATAAATAACAAAACACCCCCGCCACCCCCGCAGTGCCAGATTACGGCCACCACCGCCGGAATCTGGCCGGAAAATTGCGTTACACACAGACCCATCGATCTGTGTCGTAACGCGTAGATCTTTCATTTTTCGGCAAGATCCGTGGCTGATCTGGCGGAAAAGACCAGATCTGCGGCCAGATCTGGCCGTCGAGACCGAGAACTTGCCGGAAAATTGTGTTACGACCAGACCCATCGGATCTGTGTCGTAACACGTCGATCTGGCGTTTTCCGGCCAGATCCGTGGATGATCTGGCCGGAAAAGGCTAGATCTGGCCGTCGGGCCGAAAAGGCCAGACATAGATCTGGCCTTTTCCGGCCAGATCTGAGGCGGATCTGGCCGGAAAAGGCCAGATCGGTGTGTTACGACACAGATCTGACGGGTCTGTGTCGTAACATAATTTTCCGGCCAATTCCGGCGGTGGTGGCCGGAATCTGGCACTGCGGGTGGCGGGTGTTTTTTGTATTTTATAAAATTTTTATATATTGGGCTATTTAGTCAATTAGCAAACCTAGGGTTTTTAGAAGTTTTTAAATTTATAAAAACTAAAAATAAACTTTCAAGGGTATTTTAGTCTTTTCACTATTATCTACAAAAATCACTACGAACATGACAGAAGGTATCCATTTGTCGTTTCAAAACCTTTTAGGTATCACTTATCGTTTCAAAAATATTGGGTATGTATAAGTCGTTCTCCCTATCAATTCAATTTTCAACCTTTGTTTCCTTCATCATGTTTTGGGTACAACTAAGTAGTGAAATGACTTACCCATCTGGTTGCTTCACCTACTCTAAATTTTTTTATATCAAATATATATAATTTTTTTAATATTAATAAATATTTCTTTTAAAAATCAGAATCAAATTAAAATTAGTTATTAGCATTTTGAAAAAATAAAAAATCTTTTTTCCCATTTTCTTTATGAAAATTAAAAAGTAGCTTTTCATTTTCAAAAGTTGTTTAGAAAAAATATTTAACATGTTTTCTTGTTTTTCTGAATTCCAAAAAAAAAAAAAAAAATCGTTTTCTAAAATTTGTCCCAATATACCTAAATATTATTGCATAAAATTAAAAATAACATAATAATAAATTTAAAAACAAAAAATATGAGGATAAGTAAGAAACAATAAATCATAAACGTGTGTTGATGGAAGATAGAGATTAATTGGTATACGCGTGAGACTTGACCCGTCAGCAACACCTAATGGCTGATGGGAATCATATATAATGGGCCCCATCGCTTCTGACGTGGGAATACGTTTGCCACATGTCATCCACGCTCCAATAAAATTTGAATGCTAATTGTTCTTAGTCATAAATAAATAATATTGTTAAAGTATAAGTGTCTAAACAATGAATTTGTATGAATTAATTTATATAATAAGTTAATATATGTAACAGTACTCTAATATTATTACATTAACATTAATTAAAATATATAAAAATTTGTTCAGCAAACAGAACTTTAATTTCAAGCTTCATTATTTAATAAAACATAAAAAAAAAAAAAACATTGTTAAGATATTCCATTAATTAATATTGAAAATATATTTATATAAAATCATTATTATAAACTTCAATTATTAGATTTTTTTTTTTTTACATTCATAAAATAAATAAAAGCCTTCTCGATTAAGTGATTGAATTCCAACTTTCCAAGACCTTTCGGATGACATCAAGAGCTTATTTAAGTAAATGAATTAAATAATATTTAATGCAGGTGATATATATATACTGTATTTTTTTTTTAATTAACCTTAAAAGGTTGGTTTGGTAGTCAAGAAGATTTGTTTCCTTTAATGATTTTTTGGGTTCAAACCCTTTGAAATCTGAGACACCTACCATATATTTGTAGCTTATCTTAAAATATTATCGATCATAAAAAAGAAAAAAAAAATTTGATATTTATTGAGTGACTGAGTATTAAATGATTAGTGTAATTAATTAAGTATGTCGACCCAGTATAATTTGGTCCGCCACACTGGAAATTGAACAAATCATGGCAAAATCATTTTAATCTTAATTAAAACTCAATAACAAAAAGTTTAAAGTCAAAGAAACCTCGAACAACTAGCGTGTAGAAACTGCAAGATATTTCCAGCTGTGAAATTAACAATATGTTATACGGAGTCAGCGAACCTAACTCAGATACGACTTCCATTTGTCTCTAGAAAAGTTTTGGTTTTAGAGTTTGAGTGCAAACTAAGCAAACCCTAATCCAAATCTTCCCATTTAAATACCAATCTCCATCCTTCAACAACCTCTCACTCCATCTCCCTATTTTCTTCTTTCCTTCTTATGTTTGATTCTTGTTTCCTTTTATCATGAGCAACATTCCCTCTTCTCTCACAGACGCCTCTCTTACCCTCTTCAATCTCGCCATTTCTTCTCCTGATCCTTGGCCTTTTTCTCCTGTTTTCTTATAACCTCACTTTTAATTTTTTTTTTTTCCATTTTTAGGGTTTCTTATATTAAGAAAATCTCGAAATGGGAAGCGGAATCAAACACCACCACCACCTGAATTTTCATCTTCACTTCCCTCATGGTCATTGGAAGAAAGATGAATTGAGGGAAATTCCAAAGGGATGTTTAGCAGTGAAGGTGGGCCATGAAGGCGAGGAGCAACACAAGTTCGTTATTCCAGTGATGTATATAAATCATCCATTGTTCATGCAGTTGTTAAAAGAAGCTGAAGAAGAATATGGATTTGATCAAAAAGGTCCCATCACCATTCCTTGCCATGTTGAGGAGTTTCGTAATGTTCAGGGCATGATTGATAAGGACAAGTCAATTCATCACCACCACCATCATCATATTTGGTGTTTTCATTAATTACATTTAATTCTGTATATGAATTCTATTATAGTATATACTAAGATTGTTGGTTTGTAGATTATGATGACGAAATGATCATTGAATTAATGAAAAAAAATATCAACAGTTTGTTTGTAATCTTATCTACTATGTAACGAAAATTTGCACCAAAGAGTGAAAAGAAATGATTGAATTAGAGTCATTAGATTTGGTTGCACATAGTCGGCAGGTAGCCCCAATGAAACACTAGAGTTTCTATATATAGATAAGCATGATGTCCCTTTAACAAAGTATGTTTAGTATCTCATTTTCCAACTCTACTTTCTGTGTAATTCATTTCAGGGTGTCCCTTTAATAATTATTGAGTTTTGGATCGAGATTACCAAATTATGGTTGTTGGCTTTTTATTGACATTTCAAAATACACCAATATTGGTACGTGATAAGGAAGGAGTTAATTCGTAGTTACTCTTGATTTAACGTATTGGGTTTCTTTATTAACTTACTATTTTGGGGATTTTATCTGTATTTATGTTATTTTTTCTTTGTATAATTTTGAGGTTTTATGAACTTGTTTAGTTGGTCTACTGGCCAAAAGAATTTATTTAAAACTATAACTACTTTTGAAATTTCCTTAAGGTTTTAGATTATATTTCAAAAATGCATTATTATAGAATTTTAAATAAATTATTTTACGACTTAGGGAAGAAGCTCAAAGTTTGAGTTTATCTTAAAAGCTTTTTTTGAGCTTATTTAAGAGGTATTTGTCTGAACTTATAAGCTAATCAAATTAATTTATAAGTTCTAATATCAAATTAACATGTTTATTAAATAAGTTGGGACAATCAACTTTTTTTTTTTTTTTTTGACTTATAGGCACCCTGTTTACAAGCTACTTTAAAATATATTATAATATTACTTCTATTTAATTTTAAAATTCTATCATATAACCTTATTTTTATATTTCAAATAACTCACGCTTTTATCACTATTTACTGCAAAAATCTTCTTCCTATCATTATAATTCATTATGTTTGTTTATTATTTTATTTTGTATAAAGAATCTAAAAATTATTCATATAAATTTTTAATAAAATATTATCTATAAAGTATTTATTTATTTAATTCTAAAATTAAATTATACTGTATTATGATCGAAATATATTTTGATAATATTATAATAAAAATTTAAGTTAATATAATTTATTATTTGATAAAATAATATAGTACATTTTTTAGTCATTTTAATAATAAAATATACTTATAAGCCACATTTTACCAAACACGTAAACTATTTATCAATCACTTATAAGTACTTTAACTAAACACGTAACTGTTTAAATTTTATTTTCATAAACTCGGCCAAACAGACTTTTAAAGTGTTGGTTTGAGTTTATTTTAAAAACTTGACTTGATTTATTTGTGTACATTAAAGCCTTTTTTGATAAATTAATACTAAAAAGCTCTTTTACATTTTACTAACTAAACAACCTACAAAATTTTCATAAAAGTGATATTTTCATATAATTGTACTCTAATAAACTCTTCTTCACCAAGTTCTGAGAATGCATCGAAGGATAATCATGGAGCTTTGTTGATGGCCACTTTTGTCTAGGAGGCCCAATGGCACAATCAAGGCCGAATCAAGCTTCAAGGCTCCCCCTTTAAGCCCAAACAACGATTTTTTAGGCTCTACAGAAAACCCAAACGTTCTTTCTTAGGTAAAGTCGACAAATGCCCAAATGATTACTTTCGGGACCTTGAACAAAGCTCAGCTAGTAATAGGCCTACCTAACCATAAGATGAAATGTTACTAGCAAAGCCCATGACACATTCTACAGTACGCCTACCAAAACATAGGATGGCATGCTTAATAGGAAAGCCCATGACATACTCTACTGTAAGCCCACCTAACCATAGGATGACATGCTCAACTCAAAGCCCACCTAGTAATAGGATAGGATGACACGTACTATTCTACAAAGCCCATCTAATCATAGAATGTCAAATTTTATTTCTAACCCAGGCTTTGGACATATTCTCTCACAAGATTCCCTGCAACACTGAGGCTCAGGTTACAACAAAACGTCAAAGAAAACAGAGGTAAGTATCTCTTTCTTTGTTTCGAAGGCTAGTGGACCCAAGCCCCTTCAATGCGGCAATCCTTGTGGGTTACAGATGTATTAGACCATACATGGAAGCTTATTAAGCTAAAATATCTCTTTGAATTAGTTTACAAATTGGGTATTTGTTTAATAACAGTGAAAGTTCTTTTACAAACAGCTAAGATGAAAAAAAATATATATAATCATAAAAAATATCCCAAAATTATTTTAGTCATAAAATTTGTTTTCTTACTCATTTGGGTAGAAAAGTACTACTTTTCCCTCTAGATGCCAAAAAGTCTAAAATTCCCAAAATACCCCTATAGTCAGACCCATCTTGCGACTGTGATATAAATATGATTTTTCACGATTTATTCTTTTTTAGATGCAGCAAAATATCCATAAAGCTATGGTTTCAAATCTAGTATTTTTATTCCTTATGTGTTATTTTCTATGATTTTTATTATTATTTATGCACTTTTGAAATTTCTAGCCTGACCAAATTCCTTTATTACACTAAAAAAACTCTCAAATATCTTTGTTTTTTTTTCACTAGAGCTAAAAATATTACATTTAATACATCTTTTTTATTTGATTTTTTTTTTTTTAGCTTGCTTGCCATCCAACTTTTCTTTAATGTGAACATGACTAGTGAATAATTAGATTTAATTATAAGTTTATTTCATACACCTTTTGCGGGATCATATAATCTTAAGCACACCCAAGATTTCACTACAAGTAAAATCCTATTTCCTACAAACAATTGCCTACGGCTGTAATGCCCTAGAAAATAAGAGATTTATTCAAGGATAAAATCTCTCCATAGGAAAACGGTAAGTTTACTCTTAATTATTTCCTACGCTTAAATTGCCATGGGAAATGAATTTTTTCTCCCTAGGAAATAAGGGATTATAAGGTTTCATTTGATAGTAATTAAAAGAAAAAGAGACTATTGAAATTATGTTTTGGACTAAATTGTGGTTTCATGGACCAATAGGGACTTATTCAAACCTAATAAAAATTTGAAAGGGAGAACATTTTATTGCGAACGACGTCAAATCCAAATTGTTTGATATAACCAAAAAAAAAAAAAAAAGACTATGCCCTAGTTCATTTCAATTGATTAAAAATCTTAATGATTTCTTCAATCAGCGATGGTCGGCTTTTTCATGATGGCTTGAGGAAGCTAACTTGTTTTTTTAATTGATTCTACAATTTTGTGTACTTTGATTACTTTTTATTTTGAATTGATTCTGTCATTTTGTTAACCTCTTGTGATTGATTCGTTGGATTCTAGAAGTTGATTGTCAAATTGCTTTTGAGTTCTGCGCCAAGCTTCTGAAATTACTTCTCTACATCAAATTATAGATACAAGGTAAAAATAGTGGAAATTTTGGTTTCAAAATGTTCTGAATTTACTTCTTATGGCTTTAGAGATTTGATAGTATTTTGCTTAACGAATACTTTTCCTTTGAGCTGCTATCATATAGTTCATTTCTAGTTGGTATGACTAAGGGTGATCGGTTCAGGCACCCTGCATTTTTTGAAGGAATTAGAATTGGCCGATTTTAGTTCTAGAAACTCGGAACCGAAACCTAGAACATAGGTTCTGGTTTTGGTTTCGGTTCTGGGTACCAGGGCAAATTTTAATTACCCCCTACTTTTTGAAAAATAACAAATACACTCCAAGAAAATTACAAATATACTTCCAATAGTTTACAAAAATTAAAATTTAGTCCCAGTTCCTACTCGAGTACCCGAACCTCGGTTTCGATTCCAATTCCCAGTTCCAGCACTATAGGAAATGAAACCGGACTCGGGAATTCCCGGTTCCAATTTTCCAAAACCAGAACCAACAAGTGGGTACCTACCGGTTCTGGTTTTACCCTTTACCCATGCTCACCCCTTATGACTGAAGAAAAAATTTAGTATATTACATATTGCGCTTGGGCTTCTTCCTTACAAATGCTAGAATCATAGTTGTGTAATTTATTCCTTTGAATCTTTCTTTTTGGGGAAAAGTGCCATGATTGTTGCAAGTTTTTTTCTGTTATGTTGGTATGTGAAGGACTTCCCTATATGGCACGTGAGTTTCGAATTTAGATGTTTCAAAATACAATATATTCTCTAGAATTGTTATGCTTTGATTTGCATCTTTTTCGGCTAACTTTCACTAATTGTTTCCATTGTTGGTAGATGCCTCTACTCCTAATGTTTTCAGTTTCAAGTGCTGCATTGGAGATATGAGTGATACCCTTTTTCATCAATCTGAAGTAGTTTGATATAATTCCCTGCATGTTAATAACAATGAGGCCTAATCTTGGTCCTGCAAGCAGGAAAGGAGGCATTGCATTCTGTTAACTACTTATAGCATACCTATATAGAACCTAGGCAAAAGGATTGCCCTAAAGCAAGTAACTGAACTGAAAGTTGGGTAAGGGAAGTGTGGAATTGCAAGCAAACATCTGCCCATAGCAACATTTGGACATATTGAATACCTTATGCTTTAGCCATGGGGAAACTCATGTATACTCAGGTTTGTACTAGGCCTGACATAAGGTATGTAGCAGGAATGTTCAGTGGATATCAAAGTAATCCAGGCCTTAAACACTAGAAAACTGTCAAGAAAGTTATGCGTTATCTACAAGGAACTAAGAATTATATGCTTACATACAGATGCACTGATCATTTGGAGGTGATTGGGTATACAAACTATGATTTTGGTGGATGTAAGGATTCTAAAAAGTCTACTTTTGGATATATATTTATTCTTGGCGGTGGTGTTATATCTTGGAAAAACACTAAGCAAAGTATAGTTGCAACATCCACAATGGAAACAGAATTTATTGCATGCTATGAGGCTACATCACAAGCTTTATGGTTGAGAAATTTTATATTCGGATTAAGAGTTATC